TGCAACGTGCATTAAGCTGACGTACGATCGTGAGTTCCCCCTCAAGACTTCTCTCATTATCGCACACAGTTTTCCCATGGTTCATGTTCCGACGCGACGGACCGACAATGAGTCGTATAGATAGCGATCGCAGGGAATCCGCGCAGCAGGCCTGAGCGAATGCTCGGTCATCGCACTCGAAAGATAGTTTCTCGGTTTCGAGTGGTGTCGACGGGGGCGGCACATTGTGTCAAAGCAAAGCGAAATAATCCTCAGTTCTTTTTGCAATTCCTGGTTCTCGCATGGGCCTTGGACCTCCGCCTGGATTCCCGCCTGCGCGGGAATGACAGACTATTGTGCGCGGGCCTCGTTCTGTCATTCCTGCCCCTCGACTAAGACATTCGAGGGCAGGCTGCAACAGATCCACATCCCTCTTCTGACGCCAACCGCTGAACCTGCGGCGGGCCTGAAATCAGGCGACAACCAGCCGATGCAACCGTCCGTGCTACAATAATGGGTCCCGCATGGATTCTTTATCGGGCCTGTCCTCGCAACATCTCGGGAGATGGGCGCGTCGGCGGACACCACGGGGAAAATCCGCATTTTCCACTGATCGCCGGCTTTTGATGCGCTTTCTTCTCTATCTCGCCATTGCCTACGTACTCTGGGTCGCCTTGAGCGCCATTCTCAAGGCCGTCGCCGCGGGCGTTCCAGGCCAAAACATTTCCGGTGATTGAAGCCTCGTTCCCTGCGCGAATTGCAGGACGTACGCCTTCCTCGTTCCACCGCTGTCCGACGCAAGGCCGGGATTTGCGGGGCGATTGCGCCTCCAGTTCAAGGCTGTCTGAATCGGCTGGGTCTGGACAGGCGTTGAAGGGGAATTCTATATAGGGTGAAAACGTTCCTGTTTTGAGCGGAGCTTGAATATCGTCTTTCGTGTGTGAGCTCGAGTAGGGCCGGCAGGCGCGATGGGGTTGATTCGAAAGTTGACGGACGGCGCAGGTCAGGAACCGGATGCGGGAAAACTCGATTCAGCCAAAAAAGCTTCTTTTTTGCTTTTCACGACTGGCTGACTCTTGAACTACGTTCTTCAAAACGACCGGAGCCCGTCAATGCACCCTCAGCGAGCTCCATACCTTCACCGCCTATGAGCGCGGCGTCCGGCTTCCCTTCTCCGCCAATAGCTTACATCAGCAATACCATCCCCTTGTGTAGAACATAGCCGCCGTTTCCCGGGAACCGGGAGCTCGAGCGCCGCATCAAGAGCCTCATCCGGTGGAACGCGATGGCCATGGTCGTCCGCGCCAATCGACACGAAGACGGCCTATCGGCGGAATATCATCGACGTATGCCTTCCTGTCGCAACCTTGCTGGAAGTCGGCTTCACCATTTCTTCAGTGAAGGGCGAAATCACCGACGGCGATCAGTCTTGCCTTTATCAGGGCCGCATGCTTGCGCCGGCGTCTACGCTCGCGCTTCCTCGAGGTCGCGGGCTGTCCATGCGCAGATTGTTGTGAGAACTTCCGGCGACGCAAGCTTGGGACGCTCGAAGCCCGAGGGCTGGCCTGTCTTCCTATCAGCACCCCGTCTGATGCCGGATTCTTGTGGAAATTCCCCACCGTATCCATGGGTCCTGGCTGGCCTGTGGTCGGCCTATTCTACATTCACATGCGGGCTCATAACTGTCACCGTGACTCATCTAGTTCACACTAATCACCGGTTCAACTCAGATTTATTCCAATGCGACAAGACCCGGGCCTCAGGAGGATCCGGCTCGGCCTACCCATGCGTGGTGTGCCTTCCCTTGAAGCTATAAGTACGTACGAGAATGGACAAAACTGTAGGACACAGTAGCAACGTGCGACCAAAGAATTTCGCGTAATAGTACAAGATACTCTCCCTGCCGGCCAGCGCGAGGGCTCGCAACCTTCATCTCTTCGTCATTAACACACGTGGCCACAACAAGTCTTCTTTCTCTGAAAACTGGTTCTCGAACATGGTGATACCTCACTGCAATGCGCCTTGCATACCGTAGCGGATTGTACATATCTACCCACTGTGCATTTTATTGACAGCCTGGTATACATGGATCTTCAAACGCACACTCACACAATCAAAATATACAGGCAAACATTATTTTGAAAATTTGCCTCGAGGCTTAATAATGTACTGCTTGTGCACAAAATGTTTGACAAGTAAGCGGAGTAACGAAACTCACATGCTAACACGTGTCGAGTGATGTGTTTTTACAAGTGGCTTGTAGGTGGTGGTCGTGTGAAGGAGGTTTGAACGAAACATAGCAGTTTTACATGATTTTACAAACATCCGATGGGTGAGGAGATTCACAATAATCATTATGCCAACTGTCTGTCTGACCATGAGTAAACACATGCTAATAGCCCAGCCTATCAATTAGCGGTATCGGGCATGCGCAGTTCGCCGATGGTTTGCACTTTAGTGCTTTTTCATTAGCAAAGGGATTTCCCACGTATGCATGTTGATCTGCAAGAGTAGACTAGCATTTGTTTAGTATTATACATGTGTATGTATATATCCATTATACACCAAAGCTTGACAAAAAATGACTTTATAAAGAACTGCTTCTGATCTGCACTGACTAATTATTCAACATATCCCTACATGGTTAATTACCAACACACACAGAGACATAATATTATTTGGCACTAGGATAGTGACTCTTTCAAGCCATCCTACGTCATCGCACAAATCTCCATTATCTTGTGTATCACGCTCTTGTTTGCTTGCCACACTTTCTTCAAGGATGCTCTTTATTTTGCCCCTAAAATGGCCTACAGATCCCCAAAAAACAAAAACAAAAAACGGCCGGAATTATCTTCAACTGGCCCTTCGGCGGTTGCTGTTTATAGTGGCTTTTGCAGAGTATCAAAGTGTTCCGAAACATAGCTTGTGGAGCGGTTGTGCTAACACGATTAGCTCTTCAATAGTCCTACGCAAACTTCCCTCCGCTCGGTATAATACCGGAGTGCCAACATAGCTACAGCCCTTCGCGGACGCTAGCTAATGCCCAGTGCATCCACACCTCCGGGCCAAGAGGTGAACGCTAACTGAGTGAACATCTCCAAAAATAAAGAAGGCGCCACTACGCTGTAACCACGCTCGTTCCCACGGCTGCTGAAGTAAGCCTGCCAAAGCCGGGAACTCTCACGCGATGCGGGAGCTGCGACAAAAACAAGGAAGCTGTTGCAGCTAAGAGTTATGTATAATACGTAGCATAGTACTGACGAAACAACCTGGGGCTATTTTCGAGAGCCTAGCTAAAGGCAAAAGAGAAGAAAAACGCCCTAAACTTTCTGGCAGATCACGCTTCTTCGTCCGTCCGATCCTTTTCGCTCAACGCTTCCTGCATACGTGTATACGTACAGTAGCTACTTATATCTACAACCAGCAACTGAACATGTTAGGGTACGAGCTACAGATAAAGAGAGAGAGAGAGAGAGAGAGAGCTTACAGCGGTGGGGAGCTTGACGTTGGGAGGTGCGTCGTCCATGGCATCTCTCGGATGAGAGCGCTTCTTCCCCCTGCTCTGCTGCTGTCTGGAACCCGGAGAAGAGACGGTGGCCGGCCCCCGCTCACGCGGTGCTCCCGGGTCCTTCCTCGCGGAGATTTCCTGCGGCTTTGCCGTCGTGCTCATGGCAGATAAGTCGCCGGAGGTGTTCAACCTCTTCACAAGAATGACTGATGACAGAGTTGCTCCGATCTACTCTTTTCTGTAGTTCTGTAGCTAGCTAGTTGACACTGCGCCGCTGATAGCGACAAAGGATGGCCGGACCGGACGGCTTTCCAACGGTCTTGAGGGTTGATCTCGTCTCGCCGTCCCCCAGGACCATAAACAACTTGAAATGAGACGAACCTCCCCTCGCTCCTCCGCTCTATATGTCCCCGGATTTAGGATAACAAACTCTGGGCGGTGCACCAACTCTTTGTGACGATGTGTAAATTCGCAACCACTTCCACCTTTTTGCGCCGTCGCTCTTCCTGTTGCTGTCCAGAGGAAACTAACTTGGAAGGTGATGGGGGCGTGGCACGATTACGAAAGACTTTACACAACGGTCCTCTAGCTACTAGAATGGCCAACTTTCACTCACACACGACTTTTCTCGGGCACTTTGGGGAGGAGGACGAAGCAGTTGCCATAGGCGAGAGCTTTGTAACCCGGGGCAGCCGATTCCGGGAAATTGATTGGTGGTAATGTTGAAATTACGTCCCGCCGAAATGAACGGTATGTCCGGAAGTAAACAGCAATCCACGTGTCCACACGCGGAAGCAAAGTTCGCGAGACTTTAGTAGTACGTTTAGGTGGGGAAAAAGCTACCTGCAAACGGTGTGAAGTCGTATATACCGAATAGCCATCTTAGTGAAACTAAACTCACCACGGGGCTGATCCAAAAATATTTGTGCAGGACTCGACAAGTGAGAGGTGTGCTATGTCTGCCTACACGTGGGTACGGAAGGCGCTCGACGTTTCTCAGCTCCCGCGCGTGAAGCTGAACAACATACAGGACCTCCCAGGAGCCAAGAGAAAGGTGCGGGCCCTATGTAAGCGGCAGCGTTCAGCCCTGGCAACTGCTGTTAGAGTGCGTTAAATAGAGTAGCGGAGTAATTATGCACTTCCCCCGTGCCATTCCCCCTCAAATGTCATTGTGGGTGCCCTAAACACGGTCACTTCTGATACATTCATCAATTTATGTGTCTAATGATTAACTTTTCTGAATGCTACATAGAGCACAGTGTACAGTATGTGGCTATGGTGACGTCATAATGTTACAGAGGAAGCGGTTAGCCAACACTGTTGTGCATACCCATTTTCGGCTGCATAACTGTATAATGCCAGATGTGTTGTAATGCCCTTGTAATTATAGCTGTAGTAAAGTGCATTCCAATGGAATTAAATTAGAGGATCCTCCCCAATAACCCTCGGCTGCTATTCCTACACTACCAAATTCACCAAAAGTTAATATACATATGGATTATGAAAAATGTATCATAATTATGTACATAGCAAAGTAAACGGAAAGAAATTGCCTGGAACATATTTGCCAATAGGCATGCTTGGAAGTACTGCAACAGATTTGTTAGATATCCCTAGGCAAACGACATGTATGAACCCTGCTTGCACGTGTAGGATTGTATAGGCTGATACAATCCCATAGTACCTAGCTTCATACATGTCGGTTGCCTAGGGATATCCAACAAGCGCGAATGCTGTCCTGTCTGGGCACTGCAATAATAATATTTGTTGGATATCCCTAGCAACTGACATGTATGAACCCACCTTACATTGCGCAGGATAGTATATGCTCATAAAACTCCCCAGTACGTAGCTTCATACATGTCGGTTGCTTAGGGATATCCAACAAGCATGCATAACTACACTGCATTCCTTTTCAGTGTAGTGTCCAGTAGTTTGTATACGCACAATGTTGGGAGTGGTTGTGCGTGTGTGTGCGCATCGCTTTCCCGGTAGCGTGTTTCTGTAAGTGTACCGGAACAAACGGCAAAGAGCCCAGGGCAATGGTTGGCATGTGATTTATGAGTACACATTGCGAGCACGCTGCACTCATACACGCAACCCACTGTGCATAGTGTGTCGTAGGTGTATATACATAGTTGTACGCCTGGTTTCTAAACGACAACAACAAAGGGCCCCGAGCAACAAAGGTGTGTCGTATGCTGTAGATGCGATGTGAAAGTTGGTGTAAGTGATGTGTAATGACAACAAGGCGCCATTTTCAGTGTTCATTGGTTGCACTCTAACAACAACAAACATGCAATAATTGCGGGAGTCCCTCAAGTCTTGCTTGTATCATTTATTTCCCTCTTTCTTCTTCCCTCCCTTTCTGTCCCTTACTAACTCTAATCTCTAATTTTGTCTTCCCCCCCCTCTCTTCCTTTTCTTCTACTCTTCTTCCCTCCCCTTCTTTCTTCATTCTCTTTCTCCCTCTCTTTCTCCATCCCCTTTCTTTCAAGCACCCTTCTCCCCTCTCTCCCTCTTCCCTTTCCTCTAAATACTTACCCTCCTTCCCTCCTATCCCCCTCCCTCCTCTCCCCTTTCCTACCCTCCTTCCCACTTATCCTCCCTCCTCCCTCCTCTTCCCTTTCCTACCCTCCTACCCTCCTTCCCCCTCTTCCCTCTCTCCCCACAGGCCGTAAGAGTAGGCCGTGGTCCAGGCTCTGGCAAAGGAAAGACATGTGGTAGAGGTCACAAAGGTCAAGGTCAGAGGAACAAGGCAGCTATAAGAGTTGGGTTCGAAGGTGGCCAGACTCCATTCTACCTCAGAGTCCCGAAGAGAGGCTTCAGAAACAAGTTTGTCGAGTTTCATTGTCCATACACGTACATTGTTTAACCCTTAGCAAGCCACGGGCATATGCAGTAATTATGTATGTCCATAAGTCCATAATAATTTATATATGGCTATAATACTAGGCGTTATATATCAATTTCTGCTTATTTAAGGAGATAACCGTGGTGTTCCTTCTGGAGTATTAGCATGGGGTTAGTTTCTCATTCAGTTTCACAAAACCTCCACAGCAATCTGTTAATCTGCGATATCATGGGCCGTGAAACCTTTGGTACCGTAAGGGGTTGTTTTTTACTCTTGGACAATGTTTTGTTGTGCAAAGTTGCGCACGTAATTCAGTGGCGTTCATTGTCGTTTGGCAAGCGGTAAACTAGCTGTGCTTTCATAGCAAATTTACCCACTTTTGCGCAATTCTCTCTCCTCAAAACGGGCATCCAGGCGCCATTTCGTAGCCATTAGTACCATGTGTACGTACACGTGTGTGTGCTAAACGACGTTGCTTGAGCTTCACAACGCATGTGGCTTGCCAAGCATCCCTCGTGTCTCGTGTAATTGCTGCATTTGTGTCATAATGCACCGTAACGTCAGCTGACGCTCAATGTGGGAAAAATGCACCCCGAGTAAGATGTGTATTGACTACAATTGTGGAGATTCCGGTACCTAGTTTTCTGAATTACGTGGGGGTTTGGGTATTCTGTCTATTTGAGGCTTCGTCACTCTTACCGTAACATCGGCCACTTTGTAATAATACGTTAGTACAGAGTTCACGTGCGTATGTCGTAATAATGTCAGTCTAGTGTTCACTAAATGTATTTCACTGTGGTGTGTTTATACCGTTGAGTGAACAGTTGAAACCCAGGACCTATTTTTAGGGACGATGTTGTCATTGTTGCTAAATATAGCACCCAAATAGTAATAGCTACAGTGATAAAACATACACATTGTGCCAATTTGGCTATTATCACTCTCGAGTGAGACAGCCCTACCCGTATGACTAATTTGGGTGATATTGAGGGAAATCCCTGCCTTAATAGCCCCTATTGTTGGCCTAAGGCCCCTTCAATTAGAACTATGTATTACTGCACCCATGATGCGTAGTACGCTAAAGTGGCGTGTGGCCCTGATTACTAAGTCAATAGCAGCCGGTAATTGTTAGACTATAATTAATAGTTGTTTTGTCACACTGCTCCATCCATTCAACATAGTACACATTTAGTATCGCTCCACGTAATATAACTAAAGTACCACGAGAAAGTGCTAACAAATGGAATTATTGTAAACCATAATTACCTCCGTCCAAAGATAATATCACTCCACACTTCATTAATATGCCGGGATACCCAGTTAACTAATGAAATAATCGCATGGAGGCCTGGTACCTTAATTAACTCCATCCATCCTTGTATACATGCAACATGCCATATCACTCCACACGCGTCACTACGGTAACAGTTACGTAACTAACGAAATAGTAGAATAGACGCCAGTTGTTTGCGGACCATAATTAACGTTTGTGCTGTTCCTGTTGGTGTCATTATTGAAGGTGCCATTGACTCTTGCCAGCTTTAACCTACAGCTATCGGATTTGCCATATTCACGAGTATCGGCACTGTCTTACTTGGAATATGTGTCTCGTAGTGCATTTCTTGGTAGATTGATATTGGCGTTCACCAGCCAATTGTTATAATACACCATTTTCCCTATATCCCCCTCCCCTCTCCTCCTCAGAAACCAGACTCACTATGTCCCACTCAACTTGAACAGAGTCCAATATCTCATAGACAGTGGTCGTATCGACGCCTCGCAAACCGTCAACATGCACACGCTGCAACAGAGTGGGGCGGTGGGCAGAATAAAACACGGAGTCAAGCTACTGGCTACCGTAAGTTCAAGTGAAAAAATCATTTCTTCAGTATAGGGATGGCTCAATGCAGCATAAAGGAAAGAACTAGGGGTCATTTCACAGCTAAGACATATATACAAATCAACATGACACCATCACTATATCTTTACCTGGTGGTACTTGCCTATTAGTCAATAGAACAGAGATATAGGAGTCAAGCTGTGTGGCTCAAGGTAGACAGCGTGCAAGATTTTTTTAAAAACATTTAGTGAAACTACTGGCTACTGTAAGTACTAGTGCAAGGAATAATGAGGGAGGGAGGGGGAGGAGAAAGGAAGGGAAGAGGTTAATGAGGTTTGGATAAAATATGGAATCAGGTGACTGGCTACTGTATAAAGTGTGGATGGAGGAAGAGGTGGAAGAGGGAGGGAGTTAATAGGGCACAGGTGAAAATGGCGTAGACTAAGTGGGTTGCTTGCTCACCAATTAAAGTGTACTATACAACTGTACTATACACATTGACCCAAGACTACCCTACACTTCACTCTCTGAGCCACTAGTCTCCACACCTCTGGACTCTGGGTCCACCAGCAACTTTGAAATGCAAACTCCGACGATCTAGAATTGAATTTCTTTCACGCCCTACTCGAGGCCTTACAACAGGCGATTCATACGCGGGCGTCAGTTGTCTAGTGCGGGCGTCAGTCTAGTGTGCGTGATTTTGAAATCTGCACCCTTTGACTCTGGGCATTGACATAACATCGTACAGAGACACTCTGCCGATATATTGTGCGAACCACCCCGAACTCATTTGAAACTGCCCTGTAGGCCTGCTTCCCCCTGCATCACAGTTGCTTCCAGCTATGTTTTGGAGTCTCCTCATTTCAAAAGTAAAACAGAAAATAGATTCCTCATCTTTTTTCTCCTCCACTTTTGCAGTCAGGTTGACCTGCCGTATTTTTTGCCCGCCTACTTAATTTTTGCTTCCCTCCCATTCTCCATAATCAATTCTCTACTATATATAATGGAACCCAATGAGTCCGTTTTTGGCAGTCCTACTATGCCCTACTAGCCTTCCCGGCCTGTAAATGTCGTGCGGTGCAATAATTTGTAGATTTGCTCGTACCCCTCCTGCTCACGACAAGTTGGTTCTGCTGAACAATTTTCTCACATTCTGCTGGAAAATTCTACACGCTTTAGAATATTACAGGTAGCTTCATTCACATAATTATTATTATGTTGCACATAAAGGGTTTTGCACTGAGAATTCATGGCCATTTCTAGCTACACGTGTGTCTGATAGGACTATAATATACTAGGCTTAGCGCCTGACCCAACCCAACCATATACCCCAAGTTGTGTCAAGACATGTGCATTTCAAAGTTGCTGGTGGACCCAGAGTCCCCTGAGGTGTGGTGATGTGCCAGACTTGTGGCTCAGGTCATGAATCGAATGCCGTGTACAATCCTGTGGGAACAGGAATATTGTATATTGAGAAAGCCTATAATACCAGTCGATGACCACTGGCTGCTAGGCACCTGAAGCGCTAAGCATGTAGCAAAAACATAATCTATTTAGTTTGAAGTCCATTTGCCAATGGCTGTTTATAGCATATGCGAGACTAGCGGCTCATGAGTATAAGTGACTGAGCGTGGGCCAATGGCACGGTTTGCTAATGGATTGAGTGCAAAGTGACAATGAAAGCGGTGTTATATTGAGCTCAAACTCTAGGCAATGGGCAGCTGATGGGTCACAGTAGACTAGTAGGCTCAGGGCCCTTAACGTGGGTTTTAAAGCCATCACAATCAAATCCTCAGCGGTAAAAGACATCTGCATTTCAAAGTTGCCGGTGGACCCAGTGTCCTGAGGTGTGGTGATGTGCTAGACTTGTGGCTCAGGTCATGAATCGAATGCCGTGTACAACCCTATGGGAACAGGAATGGTTGTATTATTGAGAAAGCCTTACTTGATTGCCACTGGCTGCTGTATGAGTACCTGGGGGAAATAGCAATTGATGGCCAGACTACTGGCTCAGTATATCACACAAAGTTTTTGTCAATGGTACATGTACAACACAGAGACTTGTGCCCCGTTTCTCATTAACTGCTGTATGAGACGGTGTTTGGGTAAATCCCTGGCCAATTAGCTGATATAGCATGCTAGACTAGTGGCTCACATCTTACCCCTTCTATAAGCCTTCTCTTCCCTCTCTCTCTTCTATCCTGGTTGCATTTCTTTCTTGCTCCCTTCTCTCTCCCTCTCTCTCTCTCCCTCTCTCTGTCTATCCTACTACCACAAAGGGAAGCGAGTGGTTTGAAAGTAAAGTCAACATCGAGGTAAGCCAGGCATCTCGCAAGGCCATTGAGACAATTCAGAAGGTCGGAGGTCAAATAACGACAGCTCACTACAATGCCCTCGGGCTGCGAGTTCTCCTTAAACCGTGGAGATTTGAGGACAGGCTGCAACCGAGGAGGGCTCTGCCCAATAAGAAACTGATGGCCTACTACTTGAACCCCGAGAACAGGTGTGAAGATTCGTTTTTAATATAACTCCTGCGGTTCTGAATTGGTGGATTGCCACACTTAGTGCATGCTATTCTTCTTAGTGACAATACTAAAGCCCTTTAGGTGCCATGGGGATCTGCTTTAATAAGCAGGAATTGATGTATAAAGTATTAGCGCCTAGTATTATAACCCCCATATAAATTCTTATGGACTTACAATGGAGGCTCTGGACACATCTGTGTCCGTGGCTGGTTAAGTGTTAATACTGGCAGTTCCCTTTGTTCATATCGTCATTGACTGTTACGGCCTGTCCCTCATCATTAGCAAATACTGAACTTTACACTTCGCATGGAACACGTACCTAGAATGTACCCTTTGGTTGGTGTGTAGCTCTATATGTATTGTCCTTGACTCTAAGTTTTTCTTCATCTGATGTAACCTTCTTACATTGCACGACTCATTGTGATTTGCCCCGGCAGAGGTTACCTGGTAGTGACGGAGGAAGGGAGGGAGAGACTGAGAGATGGAGGTATGGAGGGAGCCTACCTCGGGGACGACGGCCGAGTACACATCCCCGGGAAGAGGGTCACCCTCTACTCCCAACCCTCCCCACCTGGACCCGACAGACTGGTTGGACCGGTCGGAGGACTCGACAAACAGGTTTTGTCTTTCTCTCGCTAGAGCGGTTGTATGTGTCTAATTATACCAGTGGGATGAGTGGACGCTTTTGAAGACTGTCGTTTGTAGAGAAAAGTGTTGATTCTTCGTAAAAATGCCTCCCTAACAAAATTAATTTTTTATGATACTGAATTCATTTTGGAAGGTGTCTTCCTTTAAGTTTTTGCATGTGTACACTATAAATCAAATTGTTTTTTTGGTCTGGGACAGCTTCTGGATATGATCGGTATATCCCTTTGTGTAACACAGGAATCAGTGAGAGGTCACGAGTCACAGTCGGAGCCCCAAACAACAGACACTGGTACTGAAGTTTAGGTATAATTATACTGAATTGCTACGATCCGTCAAGGATCATCTGTTATTATCATGTGTTCAATATGATCATACACGCATATAATTATAATAATTATTATAGGAAGAGTGTTAGTGTGGTCAAGAAACGAAGCTGCCGGCCGGAGTGTGATCGGTGATCTTGTGGTCTGCAGGGTTGGCTCTGGCCTCGTAGGTTGCTATAGTAACTCCATGTCTGTGAGCCTATATACAGCAAGGGAAGTGAAAGCACTCATCGTAAAAGTTTCCAACTGCTCTGTTTGGGCGAGCCGATGTGCGATTGTTATTAAGTATGCTGACCGTGATGTAGAGATTTAAAAAAACGTAATTCAGATCACTAGGTAGGCTCGATTTATTGGCAATTAGAGTGGGTGTTGAATCTTGGAAGAGTAGTAATTAAAGTACAGAGAACTTGAATATAATTATAGGACTTCAAACTGTGATAATAAAGGACAAACTGAGCCATTATGAAAATTCTCCGCATTACATCCGCATTATATATAACTACAACTTATATACTTTCGTCTGTTAGTCTGCAGTGAGAAACTTTGTCAATATTATTGTGAGGTCAGACATTATATTTTCTTCTCCTGCCCTCGTGAGAGACTATGGCTCACCACAGAGTATTCTCCGTAGAGTCCGATGTAGTAGATGATGGAAGTCTCTGCCCCATAGTTGACAGGGAAGTACATCAGTAGACTGGACACTGAATTGAATCTTGAAACCCTGGACGAGACACAAGATATACACACCACCATTGCTTCTCAATGCACTGATAAAAGAGTTATGATTAGCAGATTCGCTGTGCACTTGCTTACCATACAGAAAGACTTTGACCCTGGCAGAGGCAGTAGTGCGATCAGTGTCAGTGATAGTGCTCTCCTTTGCAAGTCGCTACTGTAAGTAGTTCTTATATACTAATATTGGCTGTCCTTCATTAGTGTAGACTGTTATAGTGTGATCATCATTAATTTAACATTTCCAAGCCTGCTATGGCAATTGTTGGTAGGTAAGAATCGTGCTACGGCAATTGTAAGTAGGTACATAATTGTATGGGAGCTTACAGGATGGAGCACAAACAGGTTATATTATAATCCTAACATTGTGGGGTACTCCACCGATCCAGTGTAGTCATGACTGAGTTGGATGGTCTGCTCTGGCTGGCCCTGGACCTGGTCAAACCCGTTTGGAGGCCGGTTCTTGAACCTGCATCACCACCATAGAACCACCACAACATCTGACTATCATAATCACCCAGTATTGCTATATATCTGTTTTAATGTGTTTAGCGTGATCGAAAGGAAATATTTTCCACTAAGAAGAGATGCCCTCAGGCATCCAGGCATTAGTAATAATCCCTGAATAGTGAACTTTCTATATATGCGTTGTGGAAAGGTCTCCTGTTTGGTGAACACTTACAGTCGAAGCTCTTTTGGGTGCTGTTCATCTTCTCCTCCAATCACAACCACACCTTTCAACTTGACACTTCCAGTGAAACTGTAAATTGACGTTTCATGAGGTAATAAGACTGACATATCAAAACAACAGGTAAAATATAGTGCACGATCAATCCCTTTGTAGGACATACTAGCTCAAATATTAATGGAGAATAATTAAGCTATGCTTGACTTTCTTGCTGAAACGTTTCGAAGAGTGATCTTTTTTGGTATCCTGAAGTGTGGTAAATATAGCCTTTGCTCAGGAGGGAGTGTTTTAGAGAGACTAACGGTATGTGGAACAGGAGCTCAGGGTCGACGTCGCTCTCCACCATCTCATCTCGGTCCATCCTGTCCTCCCATGCCGTGAACACCGTCCTCCCCGACCCCTCCTCTGCCTCGTTCCAACACATCACTCTCTCCGTGTCTATCTTCGTGTAGAGACTATGAGGAAATTATTATGCATCCATAATATATATTTAGTGGACATAATTCTAAACCTATACCCTATCATTGAAACAGCATAGAAATAAAAATAAACACATTATTGTATGTCCAGAACACGTGTATTAGCTAGCTACGTAGCTAATACCTAAACTTCACCGCCGGGTCCTCGCCGTGATCATGATGGTGGTGGCCGCCGTGACCATCCTCCCCTCCGTGACAGTGATGATGAGCCATTTTTTCACCTTTCGATACAGCAGTTTTCACCCGACCAAGCCGTGAAATACATCGGAGTTTGCTGGGGGGCGTGGTGCACACCTCGTGCATGTGCGCATGCGTATAAAGCACGCGCGCGGTGTTCGAATGGCAGCAGGTATATTGGTACTTGGTCATCCGCTACTGTAAGACATTACAAAGTGAGGGGAATGATTCTAATTACAGTGATAATATAACAGTTGAAGTACTTTAACGAGGTATCTATAGTAATGACATCATGAGACTGGGTGTCCTATCTTCTGATTTATGTAGGCCGACACCCTCTCTCTGTCAGTCTGTTAGAAAAGGCAAAGAGTTAGCAATGAAACGAGGAGATTAACGCATGACTTTACCTCACTGATGAGACCATTGAATACCAGGTCCATGGCTAGTGCATCTCCACTGTCACCTGCATGCAGAGAGATCACATCATGGGCTCTGCTAAAAAACATTTGATCGCCAGGCTAGTTACACATCTAGTTTGAGGCCTCAGACTCAAACGAACCATTAACACTGGTAACAAAGCTTCCACCCTGAAATCAATAGGGACATCCCTTCTTCTCTAAAAGGAACATAATTTATCCATCCTTGGAGTGATATATACCTGTGCTATAGCATTAAAGAAAGCTCTCCTATCTGTGCTAGCTGTGAAGTTACCGATTCTGCAGCTCATGCACTCATAGAATTAGGATTAGGACCTCAGTACGTAGGGCAGGGAGAGGCAGGCGTCCTGGATTCATACCTTCTTTGAACTCAGTCTTGAGTCCGCGCTGCATCCTGTCAGTGAAGGTCAACTGGAGACACAACTCTGTCTTATCACTGCTCTTTCTCACTGTTCCTGCAATTTCCTCTATCTGTCACAAACGCAGCAACCAAAGATTAGCACAATATTATAGAGTTTCAGATACCATGAGTTGCATTAGCACCAAGGTAGATAAGATCATACACTACTACTACTGGGCTTATGAGGTGCATAGGGTATTTATGAGGTGCATAGGGTATTTATGAGGTGCATAGGGTATTTATGAGGTGCATAGGGTATTTATGAGGTGCATAGGGTATTTAGTTGCCCTTTTTTCGTTTTCACATCAGAACTAAAAGTTCCAGGAAAATGCTAATGGTACAGTTTAGCATTTCATGGTGGAGGATTGCTTCTTTTTAGTGTAGTTGAGGTGATCAAAAGTGGTATCTTTTGTGGTTGGTTCATTCGTATAAACAAACTTGGGAAGTGAGAAGCAAAGTAATGTACCCACCCACCCACCCACCACTCTGGTCTCATTCTCGTACTGCATCGAGTTTCTCTCGCTGGTACAGCCACGGGATCGAGGGGTGTTCCTGTAATCAACCAGCACATATATGTATATACACCTTAATACACACATTCAATACTACTATGTATATCACTAAGTACAGTAGTACTTAGTGATAGGGATGACACAGGTTGTCCTGCATTATGCCCATACATTTGAGATTTTCATGTTTCACTTTCTATTTCAATCAGGTCCAACTTTTGACACATCAGACTAATTTGTATCGTCATATATAATGTGCCACTCTTATGTATAGAAACTCACTGTATCACTCACCTCAGACACACATTTGTTTCCAATTCCCTTATCACACAATTACACGGTTACATTCTTCAGTAGGCATACTATACCCCACAATAAATGAATAAACGTCCCAATATGTCATTATTTCGAGGACCCACTGAACTGCTACCCACTGGTGCTGCTCTATATACTCACATCATGGTGGAGTCCTCTTCCTTCTGGGTGGAGTGAAACTTGCTGACTTTATGTGGCTCCTCCATTACGTCCAACTCTATTTCCTCCAGATACTTCTCCCAGTCCATCGGTGGTACATTCTCCACTCTGAACACATTATAGAATCTGAACACACAATACCAAGTTAACCCAGTCAACACATGGTACACTGATAGCCCTATGCTTCGAACAGAGCTACATACTATATAACCTCAGAGATTACTGCTGGGGGGATAGTTAGCCCCTAGCAATTAATTTGATGGTATAATGATACCAATAAGCATGCCTAGTATTTGGAGGTCAAAGTGTCCCCTGGAAAGCATATTTAGGGGACAAATTGAGAGATAGAGGGACTATGTCAACCAGGTGCGCTCTAGTGCCAGCCCTGTTCGAAAACTACAATTCAAGGGCTCTATAATTATAAGTCACCTGACTAGCTCACCAATTAAAGTCCTATATATCATTGGAGGGATTCAACTATATGTATGTTACAGACTTACTTCCATTCAGCACCGCCCGCATTTGCCAGAACCTCTTCTTTCTGTCTGTGACTGTAGCTCTTGCTATCTACATAGTGGAGACACACCAGTATAACACGTTCCCTAAACTCTATTGCGTCATATCATTGCAAACAGAATCTACGGTATCTCGCAGTCACAATCCCTACATTCTTTCCTTTCTACTATGATATATATAGTACCGATATGTGCCTCTATGGTATATATAGTACCGATATGTGCCTCTATGGTATATATAGTACCGATATGAGCCTCTATGGTATATAGAGTACCGATATGAGCCTCTATGGTATATAGAGTACCGATATGAGCCTCTATGGTATATAGAGTACCGATATGAGCCTCTATGGTATATAGAGTACCGATATGAGCCTCTAGCTCAGCTCGTGGGATTCTCAATCTCCGGAGAGCCAAGGCACTCAGGACCTTCAGTTCAAACACCTGTGGTAGGTGAGGAGAAAATCAGCCATCTCTTCTTGCCTTTACTGTACAACTTAAACAACACACACGTATGCACACACACCTCCTGAAGTACAGGGGTGTTTTATGAAAAGCGAGGCCAAGGGTCTCTTGGCCGGTTCCTCATACAGACACTCTGCTATGAACTGTTGCCTTCGCTCCGGTCTCAACTTGGACAGAGTGTTGTCAATGTCTTCTCTCCTTACTACTCCTCTGCCCTCCGCCAGTAGCTCCAGGTTTAACATCTGAAAACACGGGAGCAGAAAACCAAAGATTTCACCGCATATATAGCATGAGATTTTCCTCCGTGTGGAGACTATCACAACTGAAGGTTGAGCAACATTAGGACTGGAAAACCAAGACTACCATGAACCCTTAAAAGTTGGTGCTTTACTAAAGCAAAAACAGTAGTGGATGTATAATAATATATACAGTACAAGTGCTGCGCTCCTGGTAGCCTTTATAAACTTGTGATGCCAGAGAGAGAAGTTGCGATATGCTCTGCTGATGAGGGCCAACACGCCCGAAACAGCTGTCCAGAGCTCCGCTTCTTTTTTCTCTTGGCACCACATGGTCTAATACCTTCATATATGTATGTATGTATGTATGTGTGTGTACCTCGAGGGCACACACACCAAAGGAGTATATATCAGCACTGGTTCCAATGGGAGCATTACCTGCCAGGAAACACACACTCAGTGAATCGCACATTAAACACAATACTTACTGCACAGTCATATTTAGGACGGCAAACATTACACGTGTGTAGGAGGGAGCTGGCAACTCTAATACTAAAAGCAGATTTATAGAGGTAATTAAAATTTGAGCTCACTCCAGCCGAATTTTGAGTCGTGTAAATCCAGCAGAATTCACGCCTCGTGATAATATAATAGTGTGGTGTATTGTGATGCATGTACCGGCATATTCAGGGGCAGTGTAGTGGAGTCTGGCCTTGTGCTCCAACTGCTTTGTCTTGACATGCTCGTGGATGGCGTCTGGTGACACTGTAAATAATAATATGGGATAACAATAATCCCAGCGTACAACAGACCAAGTCTCAGATTGTGTCTGGGGAGCTGCAGGGTGTCGCTGGTGGAAGGGGTGAGTTGAGGTGTCTGGGAGGTGAGACAGACACCTCATGTTCATATGGTGTATGTTCGTTTGTTAACGGTTCCGCCCATTGCTCTGGGTGCGTGGTCTATGGCCCTAGTGCTATATACATGTATGGCAGCCACCTGAGTATTATTGTTTATTGGAGAATGACGTTATGATGAATCCCCCACTAGCCAGCGAGACTGAATGTTGGAAATGACATACATATGTGCACAAGTTTGCTCCGTTTAATCTCTCGTTCTGCAAGTAGGCAATATTTCGTTGAAAATATATTTGCCAAAGAAACCCTCCATAAATCGTGGCAGGTATGTACACATGTTGTACACAGTTTTCATTCATTACCAGAGCCAATCTTGACTGCTCCGTTGTGCTGGATGAAGATGGAGGCCAGAGACAGGTTACCGTGGACTATGTCGTTCTTGTGGAGGTAACTGCATGTATGTAGCACAGATACAGAAAAGGTGAGATACATGTACACTAATTGAAAGTATGTAACTAATTAACTAATTGAAAGTATGTAACTAATTGAAAGTGTACATACAAAGTAACCAATTGAAAGTACAAAGTGAGGGTGGTGTGGATATGTAAGTAGCTGACCTTAGAGCTGACAGAATCTGTCTGCACCATCTTCTCCACATCTGACAGTGCATTACACAAACACACATTTGACGTATAAATCATTATACATACACAAACTGGAAAAAGCGTTTTTCGGTGGACGAATGCTAGAAAGTCAATAGAATGTCACCTTTGAACTGCTCGATGCGATGTTTGTGCATGCACACATGGTCTCCAGTGCGACAAACAGCACATCAAACATGTTCGTGATTATTTCGTACACAAAGTATACAACTACTACCTCGTCACTTTTACGTGAAAACAGAAGAACCACACAAGAGTTTAACAAGACTGTACATGGAAAGTGTGCCAGAGTAACAAGAAAAAAACAAGACTACATCGTGAACATGGAGTGTAAAAGGAATAACCACAGACCTTGTCACTGACGCTAGTCTTCCCGGCAGCTGGTCTCTTGGCCTTCAGCAGGAAGTGGAGCAGACTGCCTGACGTCATGTGCTCCGTTATAAACACCAGCTGTAGAACAAAGGGCTCGTTACTAGAACTACATAGCATTTTTTGGCGAGTGAAGCGGGCAGTTAATTTCGCGTGTATTTTTTCACACACGTATTTAGAATCACGTAAACATTACTGCGTGCACAGTGCCCATCCACCGTTACAGAATAAATGGGAAAATCCTGCATTCGGACGACTACGAAGGCTCTCCCCAGTCTCCGACACTGTGGCAATGATAATACTAGTAGGCGAATGCATGGCATTTTTGGCAAGCGGAAGCGAGCTTACAACTAATCGTATGAGTCACTCTTGTGTGTGCACAAAACAGTGAGATGCATTGCACAGGGCCAAGTAGGCTTTTTAGACCCGAGCGCAGTAGACAATTCGAGTCGAGTCAAAAACAGTCAGACGACAGCGCGAATCAGGCATAATCCGGCAATCGAGAAAAATCTCTCGCTGGACTGTGCAGCAATTCTCGATAGCTTCGGAGGTGCTCGAGCCTGCCGTGTTGCGTTTCCTATCGATTCAGGCAACATATGAAAATTTTGAAATCCCTTTCGGATAAAAAGAAGCGCGTAAGGCTGGAGCATGCGCAGTTGGACGACGTACGGTGACATATATATATATATATATATATATAGAAAAATCGCGCCGTTCGGACCACTAGGTTAGCTCGCTTCCGCTCGCCAATTATTACATAATCTCAAACGTACCCGATCCTGATTGGACACCTTGTCGTGCCAGAACGACATGAAGTTGACAATGTTGGGATGCTGCATCTCTGTCAGTCGCTTCAGGATCTTCACCAGCACCTCCTGCAAGACACGGTGAAGTTAGCGAAGTTTAAAAATCCCAATACGAGCGACGTTTTTCTTGGGGGTGAGAATCTCATACATTTGAGTGCACATTCACATTTCTCAAGTGGAGAATATAAAGGCGGCCTCCACCAGTATACATGTGTCTGTTGCATGGTGCAGCGCTACGCTGTTGGTATTACTACCCTGTTGAGTTGAAGTGTTTTGCACTGCTTGTCCTTACTTCTACATGCAGGAACGCACGGCTATGCACGCACAGTCACACACACAATTCTGCATGTGTCCACAACAAGTACATGTATGTACACGAACTATATCAGCATGCACCTCGCTGTACCACTAGATACCACATACATACCTTGCTGGCAGCGACTGCCTTCCTGCTCGAGTACCTGACTTCATTCCACACCACCTCCACCCCATCCTCTGTGTCCATTGCCAGGTGAGCCGCATCGATCCCCGGGACATCTCGAGAAACCTGCACACCGTGGCGGGCATCTATTGGAATCCCACTCTACCACTCACTTATGAAACAGTCACAAACGGTGACGTAGAAAGGCAAAGCAAAGGCAAAAACCACACCCACTTCCTTCTAAGGCCATGACTACAACAGTTTTAGATTTGAACATAGATATGTGGAACACCACCCTTTCACGTGTACTGCCCCTGCCTACTGAGCTGCCCCGGTAGCTCAGTAGGTAGAGCGCTTTATAATTATCCACCCAGGGCATCTCGTTTCCTGTGTTGAGGTGGGGGGCATCAATTAGAAACAGGTAAACATTGACAATCTGGCGTCTCTGGTTTTCTCATCAGACGAGGCAAGATCCGCTCACCTGGTCTATCATCTTCTGGTAGCGGCCGTTGTCGCTGATCTCCATGATCTCTGTGTCCGAGTCTTCCTCCTCGGAGTCCGGGCGATCGTCGGGACACGGCACTCGCTCCGAGGAGGGCTGGGAGAGCTGCTCGCTCGCCTTCGAGGCTCCCCCGCTCCGTGGCATGGCGAACAACACAACTCAAACTCAGGCAAACGTCGAAAAACACCGTACGAGAGGCAGCAGAATAAGCCACACCCACAACACTAAGCACTTCATGCGCATGCGCACTACCCCTCAGAACACGAAGAGGTGGAGCTAGTTAGCACAAGAGACAACGTGGTGGGGAGAGAGAGCGAGTTACATCCACTGTGATCCGGGATATTCATGTGAGTTGACATGTCTACCTTATGGTCCTAGACACATAAGCTGTAAATGTTCCTCATGTGTCTGTCCGTTTGCCACAGCGAGGAAACCGTGCAACAGCCATGGACGCTGATACGGCAGGGTAAGCGTGTGTAAAACTAGGACTAGGTCCTCGATCCCTGTAAACGAGGCTTGAAAAGTAAGAAAGCGTTACCTGGGTGTCCTTGTGGTGTTGCTATCCTCCTAGAGTATAATTATAGTCAATTTTTACACATGGAGCTTGAATAAATCATTAATTTTGTGTCACACTGTCCCAATCCTTGCATGTTGGTTTTTTATGTACTGATTGCTGTTGTGGTGTATGTTTTATTTTCCGCCGTCCCTCCCCAGAGGTGATGTCCCCCAGCAGGTCGAGGTAGGAGAAGGAGGAGGAGGAGGAGGAGCGATGACCATCAAGGACGCACTGAAAGAGGTACTCAGCAATGCCCTGTGTCACGACGGAGTGGCCCGAGGTCTCAGGGAGGCTGTCAAGGCTCTGGACAAGTAGGTTTTTCATTCTGTGTAAAGATATCCCTACTGTGAAAAATTTTTGTAGCATGCAAAATTACTTTATACCAAATTTTAACCCTAAACAATGTTGACATAGTATGCATTAGAGATACTCGGTACACACAATTTTTCTAGGGTTTCATATAAAATTTTCCTGTGATAGTTAAAACCTTGTGCGTATACAGTGTAATAATTGTTCCTTTTTCTTCCCCACTGACCCCACACCGGCACAGACGTCAGGCCCTTCTCTGTCTCCTCGCCAAGAACTGTAACGAGGCGGGCTACAGTCGACTCGTCGAGGCTCTCTGCAACGAGCACAACATCAAGCTACTCAAAGTCAGTCCAGCTTGTTCTGGTGTATATACCCCCGTGTCTTCTCCGTGCACATAGCATTTCGTGATTACGTCGCTTTTTTGCGGATTTGGCGAATTCAGTGAAATCACCACGCACACCGCCAACTGGGTTCGTAAAGCGAGAGTGCATTTACATCATTTGCGACCAAGGTGAATTCACTAGCTTTATCACAAGCACAAGCCTGGTGTTTCGCATCAAAGTCCTAGTGTTGAAGTCCCAGTGATGAAATAGAAGCTCCCTCTACTGAGTCCTACTGGGGACACTGAGGATTAGCTTTTTCCGGAATCACTATAACCTTCTGAGGGACCGCGACTGTATCACTAAGTACGGTAGTATGTACTTAGTGTATAGGGATGGGCATATGGTACCTAGCATCATAGATGTATGGTCAGACTAGTATAATAGGTGAAAGATGTTTAAAGTTGTTACTTCTCCCGTCTTTTTTTTATTTTATGTGAGATGCATGTGTGTTTGCTCTTGTTCTCGAGGCACTGTTGTTGCTCTCTATATATCTGGTGTGTGGTGATGTGTATATAGATCGAGGACAAGGAAGAGCTGGGAGAGTGGGTGGGGCTGTGTAAAATCGACAAGGAGGGAAAACCGAGGAAGGTCGTCAAGTGCAGCTGTGCTGTTGTGAAGGTTCGTGACATTACTTGTGTTACTAATGGACCCCTTTTCCTTACCCATGAACTTCTTCCATTTTCTTACCCATTCATTATCTACTTCCCTTGCTATATACTTCCTACTTCCTGAATCCTCACCACTCACTCCGTCTCTTGTCCTCTCTCCCCTTTCTTATTAACCCCTTTACCTAAAAACCTTCCTCCTCCATTTTATTACCATTCCTTATCTACTTCCCTTCCTACTTCCTACTTCCTCAATCCTCACCACTCACTCCATCTCTTGTCCTCTCTTCCCTTTCTTATTAACGGGGCCCTTTACCTAAAAACCTTCCTCCTCCATTTTCTTACCCATTCCTTATCTACTTCCCTTCCTACTTCCTACTTCCTCACCACTCACTCCGCCTCTCTCTCTTCTCTCGTCCTCTCTTCCCCTGCTCCACACAGGAAGTCAGTGGTGACACTGAGGCGTGGGCTGTGGTGCAGGACTACATCAAGTCTAAAGGCGGTGCAATATAACTTCAACCAAAGATCACCACCACTAGCACAAGATGAAAAATTTTCTTTCTTGAAAAACACGCAGCAAAAAAACGTCGAATCGAGCGAGGATTTCTTGCTATTATAGCTGCGCATGCGCATATCGTGCACGTGTGCTATATAGCTAATTTTCAGTGCACGAACCTAATAAATCAACAGTACTCCACCAGCCTATTATAAAGTGTTGTGCTTCTTCACCCCGGGTCAATTTTCTGCCTGAACATCAGCCCATCAAAAATGATCCCAGATTAATTTACATAATGAGAATGCTGTTGCCCCTAACAGATACCATACCGATTACAGCATATATTATGATGATGCAGAGCTACTCAACAACACTTTTGTCTGACTTCAGAAAGAATTTTATGCACCCATTCAACATCTTTCTGAACCATAGCAGGTTGAGAGTGTCGAAAACAACGTATGTCGCAAGAGTCCACAGCCTCAGGTACCACGGTAACAGCACAACAGCCGGGTCCATCTGGGTCCAGAAGAACTTGTACCAGTGCCACGGGATTGGAGCAATGCGACAGGCAAAGAAAACCGTCACCATTAGTACAGAGTTTACAACAAACAGCTTTGATTGTTGCTTTTTCATAAGTCTCAGAAGCCAGAACATGTTCACGAACGGCGTAGAACACTCGGCGACGAATCGATAAACGATGAAAAACATAAACTTTCCCTGGTGGTAGAGACCGAGATAGAGTCCTATCATACCTACCACGTGGTGTGCTAGATTTGCCTTGTCTTTCCTCAGCTCTGCATCCACCAAACAGTTTATGAAATCGCCGACGAAGTATCCGAGGGACAGTTGCATGGTGGCAAAGCCCAACCAACACTTTGAGAATACGCGGTTTTCCATGCAAACTGTGGCAAGTATATAGAGCGTCGTTAGGCTAACCACCACTGCATGGAGGGTGGACATGAAGAGAGTGTTGACTAAGCTCAAGTATTTCCCGAGCTTTGCGTAAGACTCGGGGATGAGAGTACGGCCCAGCCATGGGCTGATGACTCTCGGGCTGATAAAAGTCAGTATGAAGAGGATCCAGAAGTACCAACCGAAGAGGTAAGGCAAGGAGCTGGGTTCATATGAGAATGTGTCGGTATCTGAGGTATCCTGTAAGAGGTAAAAAATAATACTGTGCTAGGGTATGTAGCTAGGTGTGCACTTCAGGTTGGTTTATACGAACACTAGAACATCGATAGCGATAGTATGCGACCTGCGAGAAGCTAGATTGACGCGTTTGACTCACCATGCCTTTTTTCGTGCTGGATTTTAGCTGGCCCTTCAGAAAGAAATAGTGGTGGTTGAGGGTTTGTCTAGTGTTGTCTTCTCCTCTTTCGAATACTGGGCAACTGCTTACCACGGAGCCACACCCACATGAGCGTGCGCGTGCTTGACGCAGCTAACGCGCAAGCGCGTGGCATGATATTTTCTACGCGCAGTGGAAACGTAACCTTCTCTATTATGAAACAGCAGGACTTGCTCCATACATCTATAAAAGCTGATAGAGTGGAAATAATAATCGTTGCGATTTTTCCCTCCTCACTACTTCTGAGAGCGAGTCACAGTCCGAGAGAGTGGTCTCGTCTCGCTGTCACGGCGACGCGACACTTGAGCTAGCGCGAGCCCCACCCCCAAATTTAATTTCCGCTGCGCGCGCAAAGTTTATGCATGTCACGTGTGTGCACGTTTTTCGGGCGTGGCCAAATTAGAGACGAACGACGCGATCGACTGGCCGGACGACGAGTTCGCGAGGCTTTCTGACGACTAGAACGGTAGAAGAGACCTTGTCTGCTGGTATTTTCTTCGACTCTAAGTGGTGGAGAAGGTCAGCCAACCTCCCAGTTTTTGCGCTGGCTACCGGCGCTCTATAAAAGAATCGCTTCAAAGCCCGCGCCAGCATTGTGTTCTTTCCACTCCCCCTTTAGGTGTGCGTCTATATACCACCTGCTGATTGATTCAAACTGCTGAGACGCAATCTATACCCCTTGGCTAGCGCCTGTGTAACACGCGCTCTCGGCGGCAAAGAAAAGGAGTGTGTAGTCGTCCGTGTGTATACTTTGAGTTTGGAAATTTCGTGAACAGCCTCTTCAGTCGTATACTGCCGTGTATGTTTCAGTGCTAGGCGGCTATATACGTTTACATTGACCAAAGAGGAACGGAACGGACGCGGCGCCGGAAGCAGCAGTGACAACAGTGTCTTACTATCGCCACCACCTCCGGTTGTGTACGGAGGGCGAGTGAGCTAATCCTTCTTCGTCTTGTGTGCGTCTAACTACCAGTTCCGTAGAGAATAAAGAAACAGGAGAAGAGCCATGGGTTGCTGCGCTAGCACGCCTTCCGAGAGACCGAAACCAACGGACGAGAGCAAAGCGTACGTACCGAAGCAGTCGCCCGGAGGCGCTCACTCCAACAACAACGTCCACATGCCTCCTTCGCAACCGTCACACATGTACCCGCAGCAGCAGGCCCCGCGGCAGATGTCGGCGCCCGTGCACCAGCAACAGGGGCCTCGCTCGGGCCCCTTCAACCCGGGCGGCGGCGGGCCGTTCAACCCGGGTATCGGCGGTCCCATGCGTCCCCACGGCGGAGTGCTTACGTACGTGGCCCTCTACAGCTACAGCGCCAGAACCGCGGAGGACCTCAGTTTTATCAAAGGTAAGATTTGGGAGAGAATGAGAGAAACCGACTCTGCATCTTAGTGTACACGTAAAGTACGTACAATACATGTTGACGTTCGTAGCCACATACAGAGCTGTTGTGCAATAATAGCTGCGTATATTGAGTAGCTACCGTCGCTGAATTTAGAGCCAAAGTAGGTATTTTAGTTTTGTGAAGGTTGTCTTCAGGTCATCTAAATATGTAGTAGCTGTACTGTCCAACATTTTTGCACCTCGTTGATTTCCAAGTGGTTTGTGGTGGGTTACAAACACAATGTGAGACTTTAGCTATCGCTGTACCCGATTTTGCTTAGCTTTTCGAATGCGTGTAGCTACTAAAGGGCTAAGCGCGGTGGAGTTCAGCTTACAACGGATGTACCTGTATAAGATTGATAGCACCCTCCCACACGGCACTAGTTTATCTTCTACAATAAACACTGCAATACATTCGGTTTCTTATTCGCATGTTTACTGTAACTGTTAACCTTCATTAGGATACACACACAGTGTGTGTGTGTGCTGTTTTCGGGGCACTTACACTGCACTTTGCGTAGATTTAACGAGCTTTTAGTGTACATACACAGGTATATACCCCCATGGGGTGAGTATATATATATATATGTATATATACACCTACAAGTGTACCCAACGAGAGGTTCTATGCACGAGTATGGTAGTTTAGGTACGGGTAATAACAGGCCTGGGGGGGGGAAAGAAAAATAACCAACTTTGTTGGTAGCCAGACTCGGGCAATGGGACTGAAAGTCCAGTAGCTCAGTGTGCATGCAGTGAACTGAACTTCCCAGTCACGACGACGCATGAGTTCGTATCCCGACAAAAGTTTTTTTTTCTTCTTTTCTCCTGGCCTGGGTTTTTTTTTATCGACAATATACACACCAGTTCAACTAAGAAAGAGGAGAGACGTTAAATGCAGAGCTGGTGTGTACATCATTGCACACTCCCCAAAGGCATTAAACACACACAGTTTACCATCACCACCGTAAAGCCAGTGTTGTTGTTGACATGAAAAGCACAGCATACAGTACATTATTGCAGTTCTAGTATAGTTGTGGGTTTCGAGGAAGTGGTTTATCTCACTCTCTCTCTCTTCACCGTTTTTGTAGTAGGCCCCACAGCTTAAAATACACACAAAACTGTTCTAAAAATAGACGCAGTGGCTATCGAAAGCCAGAAAGTGGCGATGCATGTTTTTCTTTTATACCTACGTACACATACACAGTGTAGTGGGGCTTCTTGCAATGCAAGCTATATATGTAGCTAAGTAAAGCCGGAAGTTGAAAGATATTCAGATCTGTAGTAAAACCAGGCTCCTAAAATAAGCCACGATTGTGAGGATAGCTGTATTATTGAATAACGGCGGGCGACCGGGGCAAAACGACGTATTGTAAACCTACCTCTAGTGTGTTTCCCTGCTTTAGTCCTGTACTGACCGTGTATCTTGGCATCATATCAGCGCCGGCTGTAGATTAAAGCACCTCTAATGGTACTGCACTTGACTCTGTGAGTGGATTATTTGATTTACCACCACCCAACATGTACATTATATATGTAACAGTGCGTACCGTCGTGACCCTTTATGTCAGTTCATACATTGCATATACATACGCTTGCACGTGGGATAACCACTCTTGTGCCAAATTTTAGAATATTATCTTTTGTAGTGTACTGGTGTACAATACGCTGTATTTTACTTGTATGTAGGTGTGCGGGGTGTGCCTGTGTATCTCTGTATAATATTGGTGGCCAGTGTGTGTTGTATGTATGTAATGTGGTTGTGTTGTGGTGAGTTGTATTGACCTAGGCTTGTGTTGTGTATTGAGCTAGCTGGGTGCTAACTGGTTGTGTAATGGTGCAAGCTCTGGCGTTTAGAGAGGTTAGTTCTTCATTTATGACTTGAGTTTTGAGTCACGAACTTTTCGATTTTTCGTGACCAAAATGAAGAACTAGCCCACGTTTTGAAATGTAGGGTATTTTGGGGCAAGTGCGTAAAGCCCGTAGCCGGCTACAGAGATCTGTATATAGTTGTTGTGAGGATCGGTGTTTTGTTAGCTACGGCGGATGTTGTTTGTGTCTATTGCGGCCGCTATGGCAGCGTTTACGTTTCCCGAATATGCTTTTTGTAAACCGAGCGTGCTTTCTCAGCGTTCACACGCACACGGTCCATTAAGATCTACTGTATATACATTAACAGGCGTGTGTTTCTTTAGTAAACACCTTTTCATGTACACACACCTCCCTCGTTGGTTTTTTTTCCAATCCCCAAACACTGCACGTGAGAGTACGGAGGTACAACAACAACACAATGGAGGAATACTAGCCTTATCTCTGTCTCTCTTCAAATGTTTTGCCTCAATTTTTGCCTTACGCTTCGTTTTTTTGCTGTGAAGTAGAAAAGAGAGGAGGAGGAGAGAGAGAGGAGAGAGAGAGAGAGAGAGGAGAGAGAGAGAGAGAGACGAGAGAGTGAGAGAGAGAGAGAGAGGAGAGAGAGAGAGGAGAGAAGAGAGAGAGAGAGGAGAGAGAGAGAGAGCAGGAAGAGGGAGAAAGATAACAAAGACAAAGATGAAGAGGTGGAGGGAGGGAAAGAAAGGGGAGTGAAAGTAGAGAAAGAGAGAAGAGAGGGAGGAAAGAAAGAAGGGAGGGAGAGGGAGAAGGAGAGGGAGGAGTGTGATAAGGAGAAAAGTGTGCCTTCCCGATAACCCCATACCTGCACACTCACCTCCCTTCATCCATGATCTCGGTGGACAGCTGTGCAGCAACCTACGTATGAAGTCACCGCTCTGCAATGCATGCCACCTATGTGAAACATCCACCTGCTCACACCATGTGGGGGGGGAAGCCACACTACATGTTGTATATAGTACATGTAGCTGTTGAGGCAGCACTTCTCAGATCTTTAGCTTTTCAAAGACAGCTTTGTGCCACTCTGTTGCAAACTGCGCTCTTCAACAATGATGTAATATACCAATACCACGCTTTTGTAATTAGTGTTGTGTGTGTGCGTGTGTGTGTGTGTGTCTGTGTGTGAGTCTCATTTTGTACATCTGCAGTTAGCCTGTATAATGCTTTGTGTAGGTACAAAAAGCAAGTGCAAATTGTAGATCTAGAAGAAGAGGCAGTTCTTTTAGCCTGTGTAGGTACAAAAAGCAAGTGCAAATTGTAGATCTAGAAGAAGAGGCAGTTCTTTTAGCCTGTGTAATGTACAAAAAGCAAGTTTTTCAAGTGTCACAGGCACAGATGGCATTGTACCTGTTGATTGCTTGTCCGGTCTTGTGTGAGTGCGTGTGTTGAGGGTTTTATTTTTATTTTCCTTTCTTATAACTCTTTGTCTTCAGCTAGCTAGTGTGCTGTGTTCATGCCAGTGAATGCTTCATCTCATTCCCGGCACTAAAGGAGGTTCAATACTAGTTAATTGCAGCGAAGGGCATTTTAGACACAAACATTACTACGATACGAGTGTTGGATAACAGATTTACTCACTGTGGGGTGGACAATAACGAGTCACTATAATTATAGTAATGTTTGTTGAAGTAACAACTAGTGGGCATATTACTCCAAGGAGTGATTTCATGTCTGGCTTGCGTAGCATTTTCTCTGGTCTCAAAGGAAACTGCGTATCTATCTGTCTGCTAGTGATTGGGTACACAGCAAATCATGTGCTCTCTCTCTCTCTCTCGCACTCGCACTCGCACTCGCACTCGCACGTTTATGTGGAAAAGAGTAGTCATGTGTATGTTAGGCCTGTGCAGGGCAAGCATGCGTGTTTCTGCATGGGGGCTAGATACCAATTCCTGTGGAGGTCGAGAAACTGTTGTCGCCAAAGCTGCAGTGAGAATAGAGATTGGCACTGCTAGAAAGATTGCCGAGTTCCCCACGAGTATTCTCCAAAGCATGCCCTATAGTTAGCTACAGAGACTACACTTACACAATCTGATACATTTTCTTGAGAATACTTGAGAATAGTAGGGAGAATTGTGTGGGAATAATGGGAGCTTTCGTAGGAATTTAGGAAAAGAATAAAAACAAGGAATAATCCGCACAGGCCTAGTGTATGTGAATTATACCACTTGTTGGTAGTTGTTAAGTAGGCAGATGAGAAATTCTATCTGGTGAACTTCCCAGGCCAATTTTGTGGACATCCCGCGGTGTAAAATACCACTGTTTACAATACCTGGACACTGAAACTACAGTTGGAATGTCAATCACACCTATTGTGTGACTGCATTCAGCCAGATACTACAATTGTACACATTCCCTCGTTCACATGTAGTACACATGTACGCAATATACATCTTTGCTTGTGCACATCGTACTTGTGCATGATGCACACATGTTTTAGTCATGTTGTTGGTGTATAATGTGTACATCTGCTGTAGTATAAATCTGTATATACAAGTATAGATGTTAATGTGTATGTCTGGATGCATATTATATATCATCTGTTAAGTGTAGTGGACCCTGGTTAGTTGGACTTAAACCTATGTATGACACTCTAACTGGGCAAAGTATTACTATTCATACGAGTTCTTAATCTGTACATCGGTAAAGTGCAGCAGACTATATATGTACACATAGATCCAGCTTTGTTCGATCAGCGCACGAGATATTTATCACCTTTGTAAAGGTGCAGAGAGAGTTCCACAAGAGTCGCTCTCTTTCCCCCCTCCCCCTCTCTCTCTCTCCCTCTCTCTCTCTCCCCCTCTCTCTCTCTCTTCATTCCGTCACCCCCGCATACTGATACATTACTGTGGTCACGCCAGTGTGGGTGCAGCAATCAGTAGTACTAGTAGTGTAGTAGGTCTTCCCTCTCTTCCCCTCTCTCTCTCCCTCTCTCTCTCCCCCTCTCTCTCTCTCTCTCTCTCTCCCTCTCTCTCTCTCTCTCCCTCTCTCTCTCTAGTGTAGTAGGTCTTCCCTCTCTCCCATACACAACTCTTACACAAGTCTATCAGTTAACACTTAACCAGCCACTGACACATAAATGTGTCCAG